AACTGCCTGCTACCCCACTGTGCTTCTTCTTTCATCTATGGTTTAAAAGTGTTTCTGGCTGCACTGGGCAGCTTACGGGATGTTGGTTGTCCAACCAGGGATTGAGCCCAGGCCCTGGGCAGTGAAAGCTCCGGGTCTTAACCACTGGACCAGCAGGGAATTACATCAGCTGCATTTTCTTATTGTCTCTCTTTATAACAGTATCAGAGTCCAGGGAGAAGAGAGAGATCGTTTAGTCCCTCTGGCATGACTGATCAGAAGACAGTGGTGGTGGTTTCTGGGTTCACTTGCATGTCTGTTTTCGGTTGTGCTGCTGTTTGCCCTGTGCTCTGGCCTTCCTGGTTTTGAGGAGCAGGGGACACTCTCTAGCCGCAGCTCATGGCTTCTCATGGCGGGGGGTCAGTTGTGGAGTAGGGCTCTAGCAGCTCTGGCGCTCTGGGTCAGAAGTCGCGGCCCACAGGCATCAGTCACTCCGAGGCACGCGTTATCTTCCAGACAAGGGCTCGAACCCGGATCCCTGCACTGGCAGGTGGATCCTTACCCACTGTACCACCAGGGGAGTCCTGTGGCTGCTATTTCACAGGAGTTTCTGCTTGACGAGTCATTGCTGGTTGTATCATATGAACAGTTAAGACTGCTGAAACACCTGGAGAAAACTTTGTCAGTTTGTCTCATCTGTAAGCTGGGAAGCCTCAGGGCTGCGTCCTTTCCCTGGGTCGTGACTAATCTAAATGACCCCGCCGATTTGACGGAGCTCCTTACGTTATGTCCTTGTCACTGGCCATCAGGGACCACGGTATCTTGTGGATGTCAGTATTTCCTGTTAAGTCAGCGGATGTTTAATCCTCTCCCAAAGCTGGTGTGATTCACGCCTTCCTGCTGGGCAGCTGTGATAGGAGTTCCTGGAAGCCGTTTTCTGCTCCAGGATGACTGGCCGTAACTTCCTAAGCAAGTGGCTTCCCCACTGACCCCCAACTGATGTTCCCAAAACCAACTTCCCCTTGGCCAGACCCCCAGAGTGCCCCCCAGGATCACTCCAGCCAGAGGGAAGCGTGACGGGGCACCCGAGAGGGTGTGGGAACCATTGTGGTCACGTTGTCTTCATTTAGCAAGTTTAAAAAAAAATTATTTTTTATTGAGGGATAATTGCTTTACAGAATTTTGTTGCTTTCTGTCAAGCCTCAACATGAATCAGTCGTAGGTACACATATATCCCCTCCCTTTTGAACCTCCCTCCCATCTCCCACCCCATCCCACCCCGCTGGGTTGATACAGAGCCCCTGTTTGAGTTTCCTGAGCCAAACAGCAAATTCCCGTTGGCTGTCTACTTTACATATGGCGTTTAGCGAGTTTAGCAAAGCCTCGTGGGCATGTGGCCAAGGCCCTGTGTGAACCCAGGCCGCCGCGTGGACCCTCCCTGGGTGTCTCTGTCCCTCTTTGCCCACTGCCACGCAGTCCCACCGCGCCAGTGTCATGGTGCAGTCCCGGCCAGCAGGAGCCCCTGTGTGTGTTAAGGCTGTGGGCAGGTCCGCGTTCCCGCCCAGTGACTGAGCCCTGTTCTCGGCATTCTGGAGCCCATGGCCCCTTCCTTCGTCGTTAAGAGCCTCAGCACGACATCTCTGTTCAAAGCTTTGTGCCCAGGGTTTGTTTTAATCACTGTGGTAAAGTGATGGGGACACTGCCTGTGGATGAAGAATTTATTATTCACGTTGCTTGAGAGAAGGGGCGGCACATCCAGAGTAGAGGTTTGGGTCAGGAGGCAGAAGTGAAGAAAGCACGGCCCAGAACCTTCGCGGGGGTTGGCAGGAAGGAGTGGTGAGCAGCACGGGACCATGGAGGGAATTCAGGACTGGGCGGCTTGAATGATCGGGCAGGCCTGAGCGCCGGGGCAGCCCCTGGTGGTCCAGTGCCAGCCTGGGGGTGATGGGGGGGCATATTGAGGCACCGTGTGCACGCAGGTGAAGGGGCCGACTGGGGTGAGGGCTCTGGACCCGTCTGGGGAGGGGCGCAGTCCTGGGGGGGCAGCCTCTCCAGGACCAAGCCCCCAAGGCCAGAGCACCGAGAGCACAGTGACAGTGACAGTTGCTCCGTTGTGCAGGACTCTGCGACCCATGGGGACTCCCCAGGCCAGAGTACTGGAGCGGGGCACCGCTCCCTTCTCCAGGAAAGAAGAACACAGGAAACAAGCAAAAGTCGTCAGTACAGTCAGAGATGGATGGGGGCAGATAAAAGCAAACCGTTCTTAGCTGCTTAGAGATACAGGCCAGGATTCATTTAAGAGAGAAAACAGACTTTTGCTTAAGAGAAAGAAGAGGGGGAAAGACTGCTGGTGCTGCTGGCAGGGCCCCTGGCCCACTGACCAGCCAGAGACAGTGACAAGAATCCTAACAGAAAAATGAACGAATGAACAAACGAAGAAGGAGAAAAGACCGAAAGGCAAAAACCACCCTAAGGGCATCGAGGGAGAATGGAGCCTAATTCAGCCTGTTCTTTTCCCAGGAAAATTTCAGGTGGACGAAAAGCACGCCATGCCGCAGTGGTCCCACTGCTGGGCCCACCCAGAACTCTACAGCCTCGGCACCAAGGCCTCAGCCGCCAGCAACCAGAATGATTTCCTCTCCCGCCGCTGGCACCACCCCCAGGGACAGCCCCGCCGCTCCAGGCTGCCCAGGGTGGGCCTGGCCCCGAGCCCACGACCCGGAGTCTCAGTACAGGCATCCCCGGACTATGCAAAGGGTGCTAGCGGCCACACCCCGCCTCCCGCCCTGTGACCCCGCTGCCCCTGGCCCTCAGCCCTTGTGATGGAAAGACCCCGAGCTCAGCCCACCAGCGGCAGGGCCCCCGAGTGGCCCATTCCCACATGATAGGAGTGAAGGACTTTAGGAATCTCTGGTCTCACATGAATACACTGAAATCCCGCGTGTCTCCAGGTGCACGAAAGCCACGCACGGGGTCAGGGAGAGCTGGTTCTTTCAGGCTGACACACACACACACACTCGGGTCACTCTCACAGCCCGGCCCTGAGGGCGCCCAGAGGGCTGAACTGAGACGCAGACGGGCCTCCTCGGGCAGCCTTCTCCAAACTCCAGTCCAGCAAGTGGGCCTCCAGACAGGTCTCTGTCTTGTTCCAGGCCTTAATCTCCCGTCATTCAAGTGCCTTGGCCAACTCACCCGCCAGCTTCTAAAGCTTTCCACTGCCCTTTCCTCTGCTTAAAGGGGACACGTCCTGCCACTGGGCACTCAAGACGCCCTGAGCTTGGGATCCTTTAATAATGCTCCTCCCCTTGTGGCCTCCCTGCATGGGCCTGCCTCTTTTTTCCGGGATCTGTGTCCTTCGGTCTAACCGTGCCTGATTAAAACAAGTCCCCAGGACGGAGTTTAGGACAGTCTTCAAGAGGCTTTCTCTTCTGAAGTCCCCATGGGGCCTCTGTTGTGTCAAATCTCCCCCCCGTCTCCCCCGGACAAGGATATTAGGGCCCAGTCCGATAATCCAGGATCATCTCCCCACTGTAAGACCCTTAACTCAATCGCAGCTGCAAAGTCCCTTTAGGGCAGCAGCCCCACTCGGGGAACGGGGCAGCCAGCCACTCGCGTACCGCGTGACCCTTGCAACTCCTGGCAACTGTGGTCAGGGGCTCCCATCTCGGGATCTGTCTCAAGTCTCACAAGCGCTCCCGTGTGTGGGCATTGCTCTCCATCGGGTTTGCGGACAACAGACCTTTCTGCCGCATGTCCTTCCTTCTGTGAGGATCCCTGACCTCCTGGAAGGACACCAGTTATCACCAAGGAGGGTCAGTGGTGACGACCGTCCTCAGAGCTGGACCCTTGGAATCGTCTCTTTTGTCCTCATCTCAAAGCACACTTTTTGCTGGGTTTAGACGACCTGACTGACAGTGATTGACTGTTTTCCTTTCTTTTCTGTTGCCTCTGATAGCTTCTGTTGGAAGGTCAGTGCTCCTTCTTGCTGTTTGGCTCTTTGAGGTAATGGGTCCTTCCCCCTCTGGCCGCGTTGGAGGCCCCCCTCTGGCTGTGCCGTCTGCACTTCACCTGGACACTCCTGGGTTCTGCTGCTTTTGCCCTTCTCCTCCGGCAGCTCGGCTCCATGCAGTGGCTGGATGGTGTCGGTCAACTCTTGGAAAGCGATCAGCTCCTCTCTGTCTTCACCCCAGGGGACAGTGGAAAAGGGTGGACTCCGGGAGGGTTCTGCTGTCGAGGGAGGTCAATGTGGGGGCCAGAGGCCCCTCCCTGAGCCCTGGGATGTCTAGCGGAGGAAGTGAAGTGGCGCAGAAACTCGTAGTGTATGTGTGTGTTCAAAGCTTAAATGCTTACACCACTGACCCCACCTTCCCCAACACACGGACCAGGCTGCCCAGCTGTCCACAGAGATGTCCACTGCACTTCTCAAAAGCAGCGTAGACCCCGGACCACCCCAGTTGTTTTACAATAGCTCCTCTTTCAGAAAACCACAAGTCCCCACGCTGCTCCGGCCAAATTTCTAAGGGCCACCAACCCACCTTCCAAATGGGTCCACATCTGGGCACCTCCCCGCACTGTCCAGTCTTCGCGGTTTCAGCCATGGAGCAACCACCCGGCCGGAGCGTTAGGCTACTTCCCGGGCGACCTTCCGAAGCCCTGACACAACCGCCAAGCGCTTTCCAAGAGCGGCCCGGTGCCCGCTGAGCGGGAGGGGACGGAGGGGTCCGGTGCCCGCTGCCGGAGGGGACGGAGAGGCGCACATGGCCGGGAGGGGCTCCAGACGGGGGAGCAAGGCACTGCCCTCGGCCTGGAGACGCGCTCCAGTTTCCGGGCTGCGGTCGACCCCAGGCCCGGCCCGCAGCCCCACGCCCACCGCCCGGGACCGTCCCCACCCGCCCCTCTTGGCCGCGCTCCGGCCCCAAGCTGACCCCGCCTGCCCGGGTCCTGCCGAGGTCCCTCCCCGCGCCAGCGGTCACGTGGCCCGCGACCCGGAGGCGGAACCGGACGGCGGGGCGTGGACCTCAGCTCGCAGAGCGCAGAGCGCAGAGCGCCCGGGGCGTGTGCAGGGATTGGGGTGCGCCAGCGCCCGCGCCCCCGCCATGCGTCCCCCGCGCCCCTCCGCCGTGCTGCTCGCCATCCTGAGCACGCTTTGGGTGGTGGCGCTCGCGGCCGCCGAGGCCCCGCACCTGGTGCGCGTGGACGCGGCCCGCGCGCTGCGGCCCCTGCGGCCCTTCTGGAGGAGCACCGGCTTCTGGTGAGCTCCGCGCGGGGACGCCGAGGTCGCGGCGGTCCAGCTAGTGCCTGCCTGCCGCGCGCTCCTTCCAAATGGCCTGCGGCCTCGCGCCACGCCCCGGGCCCCGGGGCCCCTTGTCGCAGCTGGAGCGGGCGCCCCGGAGTGAGGGGGGCCGCGGCTCCCTCCTTCCTTTCAGGCCCCCCCTCGGGGTGGGGCTCTCCTCTCTGTCCGTTGGCCCTGTGCCACGTTTCCAGCGGTGCCGCGGAGCTTTGCCAGCTGAGTAGCTGCCCCAGGAGTCAGGGTGGGGGGGTGGTCCCCCTTGTGCCCGGTCTCCCCCAGGAGTCTGAAGAGCCTGGGGGCTGCCCAGGACACCGCAGGCTGCAGGAGGGGCTGTGGCCTAGGACCGTCTCAAGGGGGCAACCCCAGCGTGTCCCACAACCCCGCGGTGGGACCTGTACCCATGCTGGGTGTCCCTAGTGGCCTCTGCCAGGCTTGGAGCTGATATCTCCCCACCGGTGGGGCAGGGCTTAGCGTAGGTATGTGGTCTCCCTGGGAGCCCTTGACCCCCGTAAACCTGAGGCTTCACCCAGTCCTGGCAGTAGGGACTGGTTTATTGTCAGGGGCAGTGAAATTCGCGGGCAGAAAGGTACACCCCATCCCTTCCCTGGGTTTGTAGGTGCGGTGTGTGTGGAGGCTGTTCCATGAGCCCCTCCCCTGGGGACTGATGGCTCCACTCCCTGTGTTTTGTGTCCAGTCCCCCACTGCCGCATGGCCAGGCCGACCGGTATGACCTCAGCTGGGATCAGCAGCTCAACCTGGCCTACGTGGGTGCGGTTCCTCACGGCGGCATTGAGCAGGTTCGGACCCACTGGCTGCTGGACCTCATCACGGCCAGGTGGGTGACGAAGGGGCCGGGCCACTGGGCAGAGCCCGTGGGGGAGGTGGTGTCTGGGCTGGAGGGCAGTGCAGCACGGGCCCTGGCGGGGCCAGAGGGAGTCGCTGCCCTTCTGCTTCTCGGCAAAGACCCCTCGCCTTGGGTTCCGCTGACTTCCTCCTGGAAGCCACCCTGGAGGCACAGCTGGACCCCGCAGCGGCAAGTGGGCACTCTTGCTCTGCTCGGGCTGTACAGGGTCACCCCGTCAGGCCCAGGCGGCAATCATGTTGGTCCCATCTGCCTGAGGCCCAGCGGGGCTGAGGTACACGGTGTGAGAGACACTTGGGTGTGTGCAGTGTGGGGTTTCCTAGACAGAGACTCTCATGTCCCTGGCCAGAGCTACCAGCTCTCACCAGGGGGGTGGGGGCTGGCAGGTCAAAGGACTGATGTCCTTTTGGCACCTTGGATGCCAGGTGACTGCCTCAGGGTCCTCCAAGTAAGACAGGACGCCAAGTGTCAGACTGGCTCCATGGACTGTGGGCATGCAGCACTGTGCCCGGCATGACGCTGGGGCCGCGTCTGTCTCGGGGTGCAGTGTGGGTCCTTGTGTGTGCCCAGTGCGGCCCTCCATCCCGTTTGGGATCCCCAGCTTCTCTAGGTCAGAGGAACCAGGCGATGGAGGGTGGCCGTGATGGGCAGTGGGTGTGGGGGCTGGCCGCAGGCGCTGGCTCCACTAGAGGATGGAGTTGGCGGCTGCCAGCTCCTGGTGGCGGGCGCGGGCCGCCTGCACGGCACAGTGCACGCTGGGGAACAGCTGCCCGTCCTCGGCCTCATCCCCCGGGTCCTCCCCGAGGAAGCCACCTCTTCTCAGCATGTCTGTTACCGAGGGGTTGCAGCAGGCCAGGAGCAGGCTGATGCCCAAGGCCCCATAGTCTCGATGCAGCTCCTGCAGTGTGGCCAGGCCAGCCACGTCCAGGAACAGCAGCGGGGCGCAGTCGATGACCACCGCATGGAAGCGGGTCACCGCAGGCACCAGCGAGGCTGTGCCACTCCCGGAGCCCAGGTCCCTGCCCCCCACGGGGTCTCCCTCACCGGCCCCCACCCCGGGGCCTCTCTCCTTCCTCCTGGCGACCGCGTAGCCCACGTCCAGCCCCGTGAGGCTGTACAGCGACTGCAGGAAGAAGTCCTTGTTGGCGTAGTAGAGCGGCCCCGTGAAGCGGAACACCTGCACGCCGGGCTCAGGGGCCAGGCCCTCGAACTCTGCCGGGTCCCCATAGAAGCTGGAGCCCCCAGCGCGGGCGAGCAGGGCGGTGCGTGGGCGGCGGGTGCGGCCAGCCAGGCTGAGCAGCGAGAGCAGGACGCCGGCCAGGAGCCCGGCCTCGGTGCTGATCAGCACGCAGGTGGCTGCCGTGGCCACCCAGACCAGCGCGTCGGCGGGGCTGAGTCGCCACAGGCGCGGGACGTCCCGCACCTTGCGCAGGGCCCCACGCAGGCTGACCACGATGACGCAGGCCAGCACGCTCCGCTGCAAGTCCCGAAACAGCGGCGCCAGCACCAGGAGCACCAGCAGCACCACGGCGGCGCTAACCACGCTGGACAGCTGTGTGCGGCAGCCCGTGGCCGTCTTCACCAGGCTCTTGGCCAGGGCAGCGCTCGTGGCGAAGCAGTGGAAGAAGGCGGGCAGCACGTTGCAGCAGCCCACGGCCAGCAGCTCCTGGTTGGCGCGCACAGCATAGCCGTGGCTGCGGGCGAACATCTCCGCCAGTGAGATGGAGAAAGCGGAGCCCACGAGGGCCAGGGAGGCAGCGTCCAGTGCCACCCGCCACATCAGCCCCAGGTCTGGCACCCGTGGTGCCACGAAGCCGGTGGGGATGTTGCCCGCCACGCTAGAGCCGAAGCGCTCGTGGAACTGTCCGAGGTGGGACACGAGCGTGGCCACCACGATGACCAGCAGCTCGGCGGGCAGCGGCACCCTCAGGCGGTGCTGGAAGCAGTCTGAGAGCTCCTTGGCAGCCAGCAGCACAGCCAGGCACACGGCACTGGTGAGCACATCACACAGGTTGGCCTGCCCAGCACCGCGCAGCAGGCTCAGCCACGTGCTGACCACCAGGCCCGGTCCCCGGTGCCGCGGGACCCGCACACCCAGCAGGTGCCGGAGCTGGGAGGTCAGGATGGTCACCGAGGCCCCCATGGCGAAGCCGTCCAGCAGCGGCTGCGAGAGGAAGGCGGACACGAAGCCCAGCCCGAGGATGCCCATGAGAACCTGTGGACGGAGCATGGCCGGGGCTGCAGGTGGATAGCCCCACTCCCGCCCTCGCACTGCGTGTCTCCCTCAGGGCCCCCACGCGAGGCAGCCTGCACACGTGTGTGCGCACACAGGCCCAGCAGACACCGGAGCACGCACCGTGGCTGCGGGGTCAGCATGGTCTCATGCACGTGGACTCCAGGTGTCAGAAGGCAGCGCCACCCACCTCCCAGGAGAGCTGAGGGCGGGGCCTGCGGTGGCGTTTGGGAAGAGGTGATATGGGGTAGGTGTCCTGGTCCGATGAGGCCTTGGGAAGGCAGGAAGGCCCCAGGGTCCCAATTGGGACAGGAAGCCAGGGGGGACTCGGGGCCAGGTGGGGCAGTGGGGCATGCCTGGGCCCGGAGCCACAGCCCATGGCCATCCGGACAGGCTCCCTGTGTGGGCGCGGGTGCAGCACCTCACCTGGTAAAGCCCAGCCACCAGTGTGAGGGCCGTGGCCACGCGGATGGCATAGCAGTCCTGCCCGCAGTCCTGCAGCCCAAGCGCCGGCACAGTGGCTGAGTCGTTGAGACTGCTGCGGTTGGCCCCGGGCCCCGGGCCATCCTGGGAGGGGTCGAAGCCAGCCAGCAGGAGCTCACGGTCCACCACCTGGCCCACCATGAGGCAGAGCAGGCTGAAGATGCCCACAGAGACGTGGCGCGAGGTGCCCATGAGGAAGTAGATGAGGTTTGCAAAGAAGGACGTGTAGAGGCTGTAGATGGGCTGCAGCCCGGCCAGCAGCGAGTAGGCGATGGCCTGCGGCACCAGGATGATGCCGATGACCAGCCCAGACATGATGTCGCCTGCCAGTGCTTCCCGGGGCTGGTACCCGCGAAGCCAGCAGATGGCAGGGAACAGGGCCTGCATCTGCGCCCAGGCGCCCTGCAGGCTGCAGGCGCAGCTCCGCCGCAGCCCAGCCTTCAGGGCCTCGCGCAGGCCCGGGGGTGGCGGGAGGTGCCGACGGACTAGCACCGGCCGCCCACCCTGCTCCGTGTTCTCAGAGGATGCTTCCATCGTGGGGCCCCGGGCTCCCCGGGAGAACCTGCAAAGTGGGTGGAGGTGGGTGTCACCATCGGGGAGGCCAGGCTGTCAGGGTCAGAGGGCCTCACGGGAGCCAGACGCACAGCCGGACCGGGCCCCCTGTGCCCACGCAGCCCCAGTGGCCTATGCCCACACTAGAGGCCGCTCCGCCCGCCGTCTGGACATCTGGCCTGCGCCGGCAGCTGCAGCCCTGTGGAGGCCAGAGCCCTAAGTCCGCGCTGCAGCAGCACCTGCCGCTGCCCAGTCCTCGGGCAGACCTCCTGCATGTGCAGTGCATCTGGGGGGCAAGTGGGGCGTTGCGCCTGCCAGGGAGTCCTGGACGGCAGGCCCCCTTTCCCAGCGCGAGTTAACGCTGCTGAGTTCTGGCTCAGACCCCACAGGCACCGTGGGAAGCACGTGCCAACCCTCCTCGCAGTCCAGAGGGCAGCCTGCTGCCCGGGCCCAGCCCAACTTGCCGCCTACTCAGTGAGCAGGCGCACCGGGGCACTGTTCACAGCTGCACTGAGGGCCCTCCGGCCTTCCGCTCTTGACGTCCCCCTCATGACGGTCTCTGCCCACTCAGAGCCTGGTCACCCGGGCATGGTGCACACGGGCCTGGGACCCAGGGCCTGGGGGCAGCCCTGCGTGAGGAGGACAGGTGCAGACCCAGGCCTGCCCTTCGGGGCACCACACGGGGATCCCTGGACACCCTGAGCTCAGCCAGAATTCTTGGGTCCAGGGGCGTCTGTTGAGGATTGTTTGAATGCCTGGGAGTGCACAAAAGAGACCTCGGGGTCAGGCCTTGCCACTCTCCAGATGGGCCACTGACCTTTGCTGTGGCCAGGTGGGCCAGAGCCCCGCTGTCCTGCAGCGGGCCCCAGAGGACTCTTACCTGAGGGACCCCCTCCCAGGCTCGGTGGGTAGTTCAGGCCTGGCGCGTCTGTTCCGGGACCCTCTGGCTCAGTCCGCGGGTGGGGCGTGCGGCAGTGGGCTCAGGCTGAACTGGCCCATGTCGACCAGCGGTCAGTGGTCTGTGCTCAGCATCTGACTGCCCAGTTTGCTGGGCTTGCAGTTAAATCATTTACTCAGACTGCTGAGTCACAGGTTTCCCCAAGATGAGTGTTACCTGAGTGGCTAATCCGGGGAGTTGTTCTGTAATCAGAGGCTCAGGGAATGACAATTGTGTGGGCCTTTCATAAGCTTCCAGTCTCCCGGGAGGGAGCGGGGCTGCAGGTGCGGACAGGGCGGCTGGGGTGGGGGCGGGGGGAGCCATTGGCTGAGCTCTCGGCTTCCAGGACCTGGAACGTGGGCAAGGGTGGGGGTCTGCGGGAAGGACGTGGCCCCCAGCGTCGTCCCTGTACGTCCTGTTTTCCAGGAGGTGGGTCTGGTCTGTGCCGGAGCTGGCTGGGTCCCGGGCAGACGCGGCCCGGCTTCTGCTCTGGGTCGCAGACTCCAGGGTTGCCGGTATGGAGATCTGATAACCAGCCGAGCGTGTCCTTCCTGCCTGGGGTTGGGGGCGGGGTGGGGGGGCCTTGGGTCTGCCCTCTGGAGCCCAACCTGCTGGCTCTCAGCCAGGTGCTGACCCTGTGTTGAGGGCGGGTGCCTGGCCTCGCCACACCTCGGTCGCTCCTCCAGGGTGGTGGTACCTGCGTCTCGGGGCCAGTGGGAGGTAAGCGGTCGGTTTAGAGAACTACCCTCATGTCCCACGCACAGTAAACTTGAGTGTGCTGCTGTTTTAAATGTTACTCGGAACCTCAGTTCTCCCACCTTGAAAAGGAACATGTGGGTGTCTGAGGGGCAATGTGGGGAGAGGAGCCCGTCTCCCGGGCCGTGAGTGTCCTCCACCCCGGGGGGCTGGCCGGGGTCGCTGTGATGAGGCTGCAAGGCAGAGCTGGCCTGGGCCCACTGTCCCCCGAGGCCCGGGTCGGGGGCGGGCAGAGATCTCTCCAGGTTCCTAACACACTCGGCCTCACTCTGGGACCTTCCCCCAGAGCCCCCAAAGGTGTACCCTGTTCTCACGCCCACAGCCTGGCTGGGGAAGACTGGGGCCCCATTTGGGGGCAGAGATGGGGGTGGAACCCCAGGATGGGCGGGGGAGCGCCTGAGAGTGAGAGGTCTCCCCACCCCTGCAGAAGCGAGCAGTGTGGTCAGTGCCCAGGCCCCACTGCTCAGCTCCAGACACAGTCCTTGCCCTTGAGGACTCTGCCAGAGCCTGGGCCACCCCAGTGCCCCCCCTCCACCCCCCAGCGTGCCCCCCCACCCCTCAGAGTCCTGACCAGGGCCCACTCGGCCCTAGCGGGCAGCTGTTTGCCCAAGGATGTGGTTTATTTACAGGAGCCACTGGCCAGCGAGCAGGCAGGATGAGTCACAGCTGCCCAGGGGCAGATAAGAGTCCTCTCTGGGCTGGAGAGAGTGTAGCCACCGGGTCACAGTGCTTATCTTCCAACCGGCTACCAGTAGTGCCGGAACTGCCAGGGGGGCAGAGGTGGAGCTGGGGGCCTCAGCCTGGGGAAGGGGAGCTCCGCCCACCCTGGGAGTCTCCTTGGGTGGGGGTAAGGCCCAGAGTGTGCACACGGGGGTTCCTGAGTGCGGGGAGGGGCGGTGGTGGGATGTGACGGGCCAGGGAGCTGGTGTCGGGAGGGGAAGGGAGGGGAGCCTGGAGGCAGGAGGGCGTTCTGGGGGCCAGCCACGTGTGGAGCACCATGCTGGGGGCTGGGCGGGTGGAGACGCTCTGGGAGGGCTGTCCTTCGGGTTGGCCTGGCTGTCGTGGTGGTAGGGTTGGGCCTTCTACTCCCCCAGCCCCTGCGTCTAAGCAAGTGAGGAGATACAGCTGAGGCTTCATTCCTGTCCTTGGAGAGACCGGCAGGACCCCCGGGGCCTGAGCCACGCCCCCATCTGCGCCCTGTGCTTTAAGGCCCATGTTCTTTGCTGTCGTCAGAGAGGGAACACAGGCACCACCTTGGGGCCCAGGGCCTTGCTGGCTGAACCCCACTGCAGACTTTTCTGCGCGGGCAGGAGACAGCAGGGCCCTGGCGCGTGGCTGGCCCGCAGAGGGCACCGGATCTCCCGCGCCTCGGCCTGCGGGAACCGCCCTCCGTTTGCCTCCTCCAATCCTGTGCACACAGTTGTTTCAATGGTGGTCCTTAAATCACCGTCTCCATAGCTGAGTTCACGTATTTGGAAAGGAGCTTTGTATACCCACGGCACGTGAGAAGAGCCAGCCCATCCTCATCTCCAGGGCGCAGCTTGCGGTTCCTCTCCTGCCCGCCCAGTCGGCCTGGCGGCCCCCTCGGAACCCCAACCCGGACCGCACTTTCCCGGCCTCAGCGCTGGGCGCTCTCTGCCCCGCCCCGCGCACTCGCCCACGCCGGCCCTGCGCGTCCCACCCGCACCGAGCAGGGGCGGCCTGCGCTCCCGCCGCGTGCATTTCCACACATGCTCTGCTCCTTGCCCCCGCCACGAGTGCGACCGCACCCCGCACCGCCCCCCAAACCGAGCAGCCCCGGCCCCACGGCCCCACCCCCACCCTGCGCCCTCGCCTGCCCGCGCATCCCTTCCCGCACCAGCCGAGGAGCATCCCCACCCGGCGTCCCCACTCTTCCATGAGCGAGGCCTGGGCCCCGCCCCGCGGACGCGAGCACTCACCGGGCCTGGGCACCGCCCGCCGGGTCTTCGCGGCGCACGCGCTCGGGCAGAGGGGCGGGGGTGGGCTCGGCGCCGCCCGGCTGGCCGCCTGCGCGGTGAATGAAGCCGTTGTGCAGCCGCCGCTCTTCGCCCGCCGCGGCCCGGCCCCCTGGCAGGAGCGGAAGACGACCCCGCCTGTGCCTCCCACCCAGGACTGGCCCCTGTGGGGCGGCAGGGTGGAGAGGCGCTGGGGCGACTGCGTCGGTGACCCCGGCCCCTGCAGGGGGGCGCCGGGCTAGGCTGCGCGCTGCCGCGCTGGCTCGGCCCTCTCGCAGGCTGTGACCGCTCCCATTCCTTCCCCCGGGGGACTGAAGCGGATGGAGACCTGGGCACCACCAGTAGGGCCCGAGGGCCGCCCCCCCCCCCCCAGGATTCTGGGCCCGGGATTCCCCCAGTGTTGGGTCTTTTGGTCCCGACCCCCAGGGCATTTCCGGGAGCCGACGCTGGACGGGTCAGCGGACTCTCTGGTCCGCTCGGAGTAACGGGCTGGCATCGGCCCTGCGGCTGGGGCTCCCCCTAGCGGCACCCTGCTGGCCCGGGACCAGAACGCGGGAACAGCATTTACCCCAAGGCTGCCTTGCTCGCGGGATCCACAAAGAGAGCCTGGCACCCGCGCCTCAGCGTCACCCACCCCCACCTGCGGGACTTTGGAACCTGTACCTTGCCGCGCATTTAATTTTTACCCTATCGCTTAAGGCTTTTTCCGTTTGCTGCTGATTGTGACCTTTGGAGGGGGGGAGGGGGCGGATCACCGCTGCGCACGTGCCGTGGGGCTGGCCCCCCCCGGAGGCGGGAAGACTGGGCCGGACGGGAACCGGAGGCACCTGGGTGCGTGGTGGCTCGGCCTTGACTTTGTGTAGAGAAGACTGGGAGGCTGGAGGCCCCGGAGGGAGGTGCTGACTTGCCCAAGCGCTCGCTCTGCGTCCGGGGCTCAGCGCTGGTCAGTCCAGACCGGTGTGAAACAGACCAGAGCAGGTCAGGGCCGGATTCCCCCGGACTTCCCCCTCGCCCCTCCGCTGCCGCCGCCGCTGGGGGCGCAGCTGCACCTCCGGGTCCTATCTGGACCCAGCGGGCCTCAGACCCTCTCTGGTCTGCCTGCCCCGCACGCCTCGGCGTGACCACCGGGCACCGGCTCCCTCGGCCAGCCCCCGAGCCAGGTTCCCCTCGGATGCTCACCTCCGCGCCACACCAGCACGCCAAGCCCCATCTTACTCAGCCTCCCGCTGCCTGCCCCTGCCCGCTGCAGCCGCCCCCACCCAGGGCCTCAAGGGAAACCCCTTGGCTGGACTGCCCTCCTAGCTCGCCCTAGTCAGCGCGCGCTGCCCCTCCACCTCCTAAATCCATCCGCTCCAGCTCCCTCGTGTTACCTCCACACCACCACCCAGAACTGTGGTTTTGGGGTGATTATGTCAGTGTGGGCTCAAAAATGGTAACAAATGTCCCACTCTGGGAGCTGATTATTGGGGGCGGGGGCTGTGTCTGTATGACGGTAGGGGTAAATGGGAAAGTCTCTACTTCCCTCTCATTTTGCTGTGAATCCAAAGTATGCTAAAAAAAAATTAAATCTCAAAAACATATGAAGGGGGAAAAAAGGGGCTCACATTGCTTCTCAGAGTGGGAAGAGGCAGGGGCGCTGTCCATGGTGCCTCTCAGAGGGGGAGGGGGCTGGGATGCTGTCCACGGTGCCTCTCAGAGGGGGGAGGGAGCAGGGGTACTGTCCACAGTGCCTCTCAGAGGGGGGAGGGGGCAGGAGTACTGTCCACGGTGCCTCTCAGAGGGGGTAGGGGGCAGGGGCGCTGTCCACGGTGACTTTTGGAGGGGGAGGGGGCAGGGGCTCTGTCCACGGTGCCTGGAAGAGTGGGGATTGCAGGGGTACTGTGTTCATGGTACCTCTCTGAGAGGGAAGGGGCAGGAGTGCTGTGTCTCCAGTACCTCTCTGAGTGGGAAGGGTGATGGTACTGTGTTCATGGTACCTCTCTGAGTGGGAAGGGACAGGGGTGTTGGGTCCACAGTACCTTTGAGTGGGAGGGGGCAGTGGTACTGTCCATGGTACCTCTCAGAGTGGGAGGGGATGGGGGTACTGTGTCCAGGTTACCTCTCACAGTGGAAAGGGGCAGGGAACCTGTCCATGGTACCTCTCAGAGTGGGAGGGGATGGGGGTACTGTGTCCAGGTTACCTCTCACAGTGGAAAGGGGCAGGGGACCTGTCCATGGTACCTCTCAGAGTGGGAGGGGATGGGGGTACTGTGTCCATAGTACCTCTCACAGTGGGAGGGGCAGGGGTACTGTGTCCACAGTACTTCTCACTGTGGGAGGGGGTGGGGTGCTGTGTCCACAATACCTCTCGCAGTGGGAGGCGCAGGGGTCCTGTGGAGCCAGACCCAGGCCCCCGGCCCCAGGAGGTGCAGGCTCTGGCAATGCAGCACCCTGCCAGGCCCACCGCACAGCCTCCCCCTTCCTGTGAGCTGTCTTGCTCTCCCTGCCTCCACCTGTGGCACCTTTCCCAAAGGCCTGCCCACCCTCCCCCACCCTGAGCCCCAGGCTGTTCCGAGCCCTTGAAGGCCTGCGGGTGGGCCTCTGGAGCAGACGCATTCGCGCATGCTAGGCTGAGGGGCTACGAGGCTCACAGACTCTTTTCTCGAAGGAGAAAGTCCAGTTGCCCCTGGAGCCTAGTCCTGCAGGCTGCCCTGCTGGTTCCCGAGCTGCTTGAGTGTGGCTGCCGTTTCAGCCCCTGGACCAGCTCCCCCGCCTGACACTGAATGTCGTTCCACAGGGGGCTGGCTGGGCAGGGCCTGCGCTACAACTTCACCCACCTGGATCGGTACCTGGACCTTCTCAGGGAGAACCAGCTCGTCCCAGGTAAGCTGCCACGTTGCCCTGGTGCTGCTGGCCTCCCTGTCTCTCCTTGGCCTGGTTCTTCTGGGTCCTCCTGGCTGCCCACTCAGAGCTGCCTCTGTGCCCACCTGGCTGTGCCAGGCAGGTGAGCGGTGGGATGCCACCCTCGTTGCTGCAGGCTTTGAGCTGATGGGCAGCCCCTCTGGACGCTTCACTGACTTCGAGGACAAGCAGCAGGTGTTTGAGTGGAGGAACCTGGTCTCTCTCCTCGCCAGGAGATATATCGGTGGGCGGGGCACATGCCCTGTGGGGACTGGGTGGGCAATCCTGGGCAGGTTGCCCTCCATCCCACCCCCACCCCACCTGGTTTTCTCATGAAGTCACCAAGCCAGGGCCTCCTGATGGGGGAGGGTCCGGGTGGTGGGGAGGGGGGCGAGGCCCGTGAGCTCCAGGGACCCAGACCCTCCCATCACATCTGAACCTCCCAGCCGTGGTTGCCCTCCTTGCTCTGGAGGGCTCCATGAGCTGGTGACACCGCCCCAGAGGAGGGGCCCTCTTGCCACAGTGAGGACCCTCTGCAGGTAGGTATGGCCTCGAGCACGTTTCCAAGTGGAATTTTGAGACATGGAACGAACCAGACCACCACGACTTTGACAACGTGTCCATGACCTTGCAAGGTGGGTGGGCCGGCCTCTTGGGGTCCTGTGGATCCGCGAGGGCTTGGCAGCGGGCCCCTCTGGCCCGGAGGTGTGGACTCTGTGTCCTTCCTGCCCAGGCTTCTTGAACTACTACGATGCCTGTTCTGAGGGTCTGCGAGCAGCCAGCCCGGCTCTGCGCCTGGGCGGCCCTGGAGACGCCTTCCACGCGCCGCCGCGCTCGCCGCTCTGCTGGGGCCTCCTGGGGCACTGTAACAACGGCACCAACTTCTTCACCGGAGAGGTGGGTGTGCGGCTGGACTACATCGCCCTGCACAAGAAGGTAGGCAGGGGACCCTGCCCTTCCGCCCCCGCCTGCGGCCCCTCGGCGGCCCTCCCAAGGTGCTCAGGCGGCGGCTCGCAGGGCGCGGGCAGCTCCATCTCCATCCTAGAGCAAGAGGCGGCAGTCGTGCAGCAGATACAGCGGCTCTTCCCCAAGTTCACGGACACCCCCATTTACAACGACGAGGCCGACCCGCTGGTGGGCTGGTCCCTGCCGCAGCCCTGGAGGGCCGACGTGACCTACGCGGCCATGGTCGTGAAGGTGGGCCCGCCCCCGGGAGTCCCGGGTGGGAGGGGCAGACGCCCCACCGACATGGTCCCAGCCGCCCCGACATCTGCAGGTCATCGCGCAGCACCAGAACCTGCTGCTGGCGAATGCCAGCTCGGCCGTCCGCTACGCGCTCCTGAGCAACGACAACGCCTTCCTGAGCTACCACCCGCATCCGTTCTCGCAGCGCACGCTCACTGCGCGCTTTCAGGTCAACAACACGCGCCCGCCGCACGTGCAGCTGCTGCGCAAGCCGGTGCTCACCGCCATGGCGCTGCTGGCCCTGCTGGGTGAGCGGCGGGCCGCCCCGCAACGCCTGCTGCGAGAGGGGGGTGTCTCTCTCGTCTAGGAGTAGCCCGTGCAAAGGCCAGCGGACCCTGCCGCGGAGCGGGGAGCTCTTCTCTAGCCCCCCCCCCGCCTCATTCCTAGCTCACGGGCAGCGGAGGTTGTGCGTGACCTCCCCCGGAGGGCGAATGGTGGGAAGCCCGGCCCAGGAGGGCAGAGCGACCACGACCCCCGTGTTGACCGCCCCTGCGTGCCTGCAGACGGCGAGCAGCTCTGGGCCGAAGTGTCGCGGGGCGGCGCGGTGCTTGACAGCAACCACACGGTGGGCGTCCTGGCCAGCGCCCACCGCTCCACTGGCCCGGCCGACGCCTGGCGCGCCACGGTGCTGGTCTACGGGAGCGATGACACCCGCGCCCACGCCAACCGCACGGTCCCATTGATTCTGAGCCTGCACGGGGTGCCCCCAGGCCCCGGTGAGTAGGGGTCGCGGGGAGGGGACCCCGGCCCTGGGGCGGGCGGGGCCTGGAGGAGGCGAGGCGCGGCCCCAGCATCTGGCTCCGCAGAGGTCGTCTTTGTCCAGCTCTACGTGGACAACTGGCTCTGCAGCCCCTACAGCGACTGGCGGCGCCTGGGCAGGCCGGTCTTCCCCTCGGCGGAGCAGTTCCGGCGCATGCGCGCGGCCGAGGTCCGCGGGAAGGGAAGGGAGGGGACGGGAGAAGGAGGGGAGGGGAAGGGGCGCCTCCCGAGGTCCGAGGGTCCCGAGGGCCCGACTCTGTTCCCAGGACCCTGCGGCCGTGAAGCCGCGCCCCTTCCCCAGCAGCGGCCGCCTGACGCTGCGCCCTCCGCTCGCTCTGCCCTCGCTGCTGCTGGTGCACGTGTGCGCGCGCCCCGAGGAGCCAACTTACCTGCCTCCATTGTTGTCACCAATGCCCATGACTCTGCACTTGTCTGATGTAGGGTGGGGGCATCTTCAGGGAACCTCTGCCCATGACGCTTGTGGTCCAGCTCTCTCCTCCCAGCCAGAGTGGAAATCGCCACTGCAGGGAGAGTGTTCGGGCTCTGCGCCTGACCTTTCTGCAGCCCCCCTGGACCCCAGCCCTGGTCTAACCTCCCCAGGTGCCTGTGGACCTATGAGATCCAGTTCTGCCCGGAGGGTGGGGTGTTCGCTCCCATCAGCAGGAAGCCTTCAACATTTAACCTGTTCGTGTTCAGCCCAGGTGTGCCTGCCACCTCGGCACAGTCCCTGGTGGGAGTGGGGTGGTCCAGGGCCCTTCAACACCTGGAGTCTGGGGGGATAAGAGGGGTTCAGGCTGCAGACGAGCATGTACCTCTGTCCACAGACACAGCTGTGGTCTCCGGCTCCTATCGGGTTTGTGCCGTGGACTACTGGGCCCGGCCAGGCCCCTTCTCCAGCCCCGTGCGGTACCTGGAGACCCCTGCTTCTTGAGGGCTTCTGCTGCCCAGCGACTGGGCCTGTGCTGACCGCGAGCCTGGGCGGCCAGGAGCCAGGCTGGGCCCAACTGCCAGCAGCCTGCCAGCCAGTCCTCCCCTCTGCTGGTCCCCTCTGGCCCCTCACTCGCCCCCTTAAAGGGCCTTACCACTCACGGTCTCGGGGACAGCCTTCGTGGTGGGCACTGGGACACGGGGTCTAGCTGGAGCGCGGCCATCCCCGCTGGCCCACCAGAGGCCTCTGCCCACCCGTGGGAGCCGGGATTCCACTTGGGTGGGATGCGGACAAGTGTGAGTTGCCATTGGAGTGCCTGCCCTGGAGTGCCCACGCTGGAGTGCCCGCCCTGCCTGTCTGGAGTCTCTGTGTCACCGCTGGGCGCAGCAGGCCCACCATGTCCCCTGCAGGGCGGAACCTGAGGCTCTGCCCGGAGCAGGTGGCCTGGGGCAGGACAGAGCCCAGGGGGGTCCTGCTTCCTGAGGCCCAGCCAGATTGGACCCTGCACCCCACCCCACCCCCCCAGGCAGGGGTTTCCAGGCTGCCTGGGCCAGACTGTCCAGCGGAGAGAGAGGCTGACAGCGTCCACTCCACGGTCATCTGGGCTGCTCATCCGGCCCCTGGAGGAAACAGACCTCACGTCCAGACGAGGACCACCTAGGGGCTGGGGACGGACTTGGGGGCAGAGGGCAGGGAAGCTGCAGGGTTCTGCAGAACCTGGGACTCTTCCCCACCCCACCTGTGTCCCAGGACAGATGGAGCCCACGGAGCACGGTGGGGAAAGGCCCCCAGTGAGGAGAGGACCATGCCCCGCAGAAGTGGGCCCGATACCCGCCTCCTGCCTGCTGCCCTCCCGGAGCCACCTGGGCTCGGGGGCGGGGCGGGGTGCAGCGGGCCTGGCCAGGCAGATGGAAGACAAGGCCTGGTCGTCCCCCCGCCTCCCCTGGAACCCGCTGCCCTGTCCACGTGGAGCATGCAGGCATCTGGGCCCATCAGCTGTCTTGTCCTGGGTGAGGGTGTTGGTTTGGCCATTCTCCATGAGAACCCCAAGATCAGCGCCTGTCCCCCTGCCTCAGGCCTTGGTGCCCAGGGCCCCACTGTTACCAGTTGCCTCTTTAAAGGCCCCCACTCCAGACAGCACTCACATTCTGAGGTCCTGGGGGTAAGGACGTCAGTGTTTGAACTGGGGGAGGTAGTTTGCCTGTAGCAAGCCCTGAGCCTGTTCTCTGTGGTGGGAACACCTCACCCCAACATTAAAGCAGCTTCTTCTCCACTTGCTGGCTTGGTGGCCTGAGGACCCCAACTGTCAGGGTCCCTCTCAGCATCCTGGGAGGGGTACCGGGCTCCCGGGTTCCTTCCTCAGACACCATGCACCCCACCTACCCTCCAGGGAGCAGATATCACCCCCCACCTCTCCTTCCGGGCACAGAGCAGTGGCCCAGGCTTCTCAGTCTCCCAGCAGGAGCCGGCTGCCTCCTCGCTGCTGGGAAGAGGGACCCTCCTTCGGAGAGTTGTGGCTTCTCGGCCATCAGTGGGGATTCGGCCCTGATCCCTGGGTCTCGCCGGGACAGTCAAGCCCCAGCTGTCTCAAGGGGCAAGTCACCGTCTGCACTGAAATCGTGGCTGGTGTACTGTCAGACCGCCCCCAAGCTGCTGGCATGTCCTCACCGTCCAACCGTGTTTTGGTCCTTGCTGGTTTGGGGTTGGGCTCGGAGTCAGGCTGAGAGTTCTGGAAGGCCACGTCCTTGGCCCCTGCACAGCCTTCATTGTCCCTGCTGCCGCGGCCACTGCGCATATGTGCCATGGAACGGCCCCAGAACAGCAGCAAGAGGCAGCCCTGTCTGGCGGTAGGGGTCCCTTCCTGGACCCATGCAGCCTTGCTGCAGGACACAGCGCCCTCTCTGCCCCTCTCCCCAGGTGTTTGTCCCCACGTATCCTGTCTTCGTCATCCTGAGTCTGGCCCGCTGGCTGCCCTGTTGGATGTGGCTTGCTGGAGCCAGACATGCGCCTCAGTCCTGCATGTGCGGAGGCGCTGGTGGGCATGTGCCCTTGGACCACCCTCCAGGGTCACTGAAGGCTCCCAGAGCGGGCCCACATGGGAGGGTGGGGAGCCTCCAGGTCACACGTCCTGCTTCCAGACGCACGGGGCCCAGGCTCTGGGACACATGCTGCGGGCACTGGCTTCTCACTGGTCCCAGGGTCGTGTCCCTCGGTAAATGGGGCTGGAGCCACCCTGGAGCGGCTTCTGGAGAGCAGAGTCGGTCCTGACTGAGGAGGAGGTGGCCCTGGTCCAGGATGCTGGGTCCTGAACCAGAGCACTTGTCGGGGGTCAGCCTCAGATGCTCCTGCCAGCGGGGCCCTTGTGGGCTGTCCACCCACGGGGCAGTGGCCTGTGTCGTGCCTGGCCAGCATGCCTGTGGCCCAGGAGACGGGTCAGAACGGCGTGTGTAGGTGCAGCGTCTGCTGCACCCTACCCGGAGCCCCACCAAGTGCTGGGCTCCCAGAAGTGGTCCTAGAGCAAGAGAGCACCCCCACTTAACAGGACACCCTGACACTGCCAGTACCCCACTTCACAGGATACCCCAACACAGTACCCCACCTTCAAGGACACCCCGACACTGCCAGCCCTCAGACTGCAAACTCCCCTGGAGTCGCCTGGACTTTCATAGGGCATACCTCCCCCCGCCCGCCCCCGCCCCGCCGCTGGAGGACAGGGCTTATCCAGGCCTCCACGGTGCATATCATCGCGCCGCCACCCTGATTGGCATAATGTCATCGAGGAAACCGAGATCCCTGGACTGACTGAACTAAGAGTGGGAGAGGTGGTGCAGCAGATAAGCTCTGAAGGTGAGCCACCGTGCTGGCCACCTGAGCGCTTGGCTGTTCTCGTCCACAAGGGTAGAGAAGCCAGCACTTGCCAGTTGGCTGCATCTTGGTGCCACGGGCTGTGATTTAGTCGAGTAAGGGTGTTGCCACAGGTCATATTGTGCTCATCGGTCACCCACACCTGTCTGGCAAGTGACACGGAGACCAGAGGAGTCCCTCAGTCACATTTCCCCAGTTTCTAACGTGAGACCCAATCGCTATTTCCCAGTGTGGCAGGCAGGCCTGGGGGCTTCCACAGTACGTCCCCTCCTCCAGCCAGGGGGCCCTGGGGGCACTGCTGCTGGCTGAGTGTGGACAGCCCAGCCTATGTTCTGGGGAGACGGGGACACCCGAGGGAGGGGCTGCACCCCATGGGTGCAGAGATTCAGGCCAGAGCCCCATCTGACCTGCGCTGGTGGTTCTCAGGAGTGTGACTTTGCCTCAGGCCAGAGCCATCATCCGGGAGCCCCCAGGGTGTCCGAGGGTCCTCCTCTGTTGGGCAGTCACGGGGGTACCTCAGGGGCCCCTCCCACAGCTGGGGTGCAGGCTCCTGACCGTACGGGCACCCAGCCTTCCCTCCACCAAGGCTCTGGGTCCCGGACGTGGGCCCAGCCTCATGTGACGGGCGGTGTCAGAGCCCCGCCCACCGACCTACAATCTGCTGCCTGCCTGTGCCTCCGGCAGCACTCCAGAAGGTGCCCGTGTGTCTCTTTGCTCGGGGCTCTGCGTGTAATCTGTCTTCTCACTTTTTTGCCAAGGACCCCGGGAGCCCACGGCTTCACACGCTCCAGTGTGTGTGTCACCTGGGGGCTTGGTATACGTGGTCCGACTCTGGTCTGTCTGGGACGGGGTCCAAGACCACGTTTCCGACCACCCTGGATGCTGCTGGTCCTGGAGGGCAGGAGTCCCAAGAGGGTGCCCTGCAGAGGTGGGCACTACCCCCACCCCCAGACCGGAAGGAAGAAGAATGGGCTGGCTGCCCACGGACCTGTCGCCTCAGACCCCAGCCTTGGGCACCTTCCAGGTTTGCAAAGGCAGCCAAATGCCACCAGACACCCAGGGGTGACCTGGGCCCAGCCCAGGAAGGGGGGCAGTGGGCCCCCTGGGAGCAGGGGTGGGGGCCCTTCTTGGGGCCTCAGGGGGATGAGGGGCTGCAGGGAAGGCAGCCTGGTGCCCTTGCCTATGACCCCGAGGGGGCCCCAGGTCACGTGGGTGGTGGGGCACATGGATGGGGTCCAGCCCCTTGCTGTGATGGGACCTCCCCAGGCTGAGAGTCCTGAGCGCAGTGGCTGGGATTCATGTGCCCACCCCCGCCTACACATTACCATGCGGGAGACCAGCTGTCTCCTGGGCACCAGGGCAGAATACCCCTGCAGCCTCTTGGTCAAGAGGCCCCACCTGGGTCGGCATAAGACACTGGGAGCAGCCCCTAACCCCCAAGGCAGAGCGAATGGTGGGCACCCCTGCTGCAAGCAGGGGCCATGTATGCCAACACTGACCCAACCCTCGCCCCCGGACCACCACGTGGCAGGCCAGTGATGACAACCGGCCAGGCCTGCCCACCAGGGAGGCTGCTCCACCCAGCAGAGCTGGCAGGATGGGTTGGCATGACCAGTGTCCTGCTCTGGCTTTGGGGGTTCAGGGGTGCCCATCTGCAGGAGTGGGGCCCCATCTTGACAGGGGCACTGGTCAGCCTGGCTGGCAGGGCTCACTTGGCCTGCAGTCCCACCCCGTGGCCACACCCAGCAGCTCCAGCCCCAGCCTGTAACCACCTGCCATGAAGTGGGTCCCCGGTAACGTCCACACCCCTGAGCCCCTGTGGGGCAGCTCACCGTCTGGGGGGTACTTTGGGTCAAAGCTTCCACCAGGAGCCACCCTCCCAAGCTCGCCCACCCCTACGGTGTCTGTCTGAGTCACGAACAGCACACCAGTGTTCCCCGGGGCAGAGTGTCCTCCACAAGGGTCCCAGTGCAGGGGCAGGAGCGGCCAGCCCCATGCATGGGGCTCCAGTGAGGGTCTCAGGAGAGAGGGTGAAACCAAAAAGAGATCTTTGGAGCCTTACACAGTCTAGGTGATGTCACCCTGTTCAGGCGTGGCGCTCATTCCGCAGCTGCGGTCAGCGGGGCCATGCGTGTTTACCCCTGTGGCCTTGGCCGCCCGCCAGGGCCCTCCTCTAGTCTGTCTTGCAGGTCAGCCTGTCTTTTTTCTTTTTAAAAAATAATACCTTTATTATGGTAAAGTTGACACTATCTAAAGCATATGATTTGATAACTTTTGACCTATGTCCTTGACACCATGACCACAATCTGGACACTGGACATTTCCCTCACCCCCAGGGGTCATCTCACTCCCCCTCTTGGCACCCACATAGGCAGCCCCAACACCTGCCTTGATCACTGTGGACCCCTGCCTCTTTCTAGGAGGTGGTACAGACGCCACTGCACGGTACCCACACCTTTCCCACTAGCATGACTTCCTTGAGACTCACCTGCATTGTTGAGTCAACAGATGGTTCATGTTTTTATTGCTGACAACATCTCTTCTCCTATGGACCTAGAATGGTTGACCCTGTGGCCTACTGATGGACATTTGGGTGGTTCCCAGTTTGGGGGTAATACTGATAAAGCTGCTGTGAACATTTGCATGCAAATCTTTGTGTGGACACGTATTAATACATCCTTTCCTGTTGGGTAAATACCTATGAGTGGGAAGTGGGCCCATCCATATTTCATCAGGCATTCTGTCTAGCAGAACTAGTCCTTTAAATCTATTTCTCACTTCCACTGTATTATCATAAGGGATTTGATTTAGGTCAAACCTGAATGGTCTAGTGGTTTTCCCCACTTTCTTCAATTTAAGTCTGAATTTGGCAATAAGAAGCTTATGATCTGAGCATCGTCAGCTCCCAGTCTTCTTTTTGCTGACTGTATAGAGCTTCTCCATCTTTGGCTGCAAAGGATATAATCAGTCTGATTTCGGTGTTGGCCATCTGGTGATGTCCATGTGTAGAGTCTTCTCTCGTGTTGTTGGAAGAGGGTGTTTGCTATGAGCAGTGCATTCTCTTGGCAAAACTCTATTAGCCTTTGCCCTGCTTCATTCTGTACTCCAAGGCCAAATTTGCCTGTTACTCCAGGTGTTTCTTGACTTCCTACTTTTGCATTCCAGTCCCCTATAATGAAAAGGACATCTTTTTTGGGTGTTAGTTCTAAAAGGTCTTGTAGGTCTTCATAGAACCATTCAACTTCAGCTTCTTCAGCATTACTGGTTGGGGCATAGGCTTGGATTACCGTGATATTGAATGGTTTGCCTTGGAAATGAACAGAGATCATTCTGTCATTTTTGAGATTGCATCCAAGTACTGCATTTCGGACTCTTTTGTTGACTATGATGGCTACTCCATTTCTTCTA